TGATTAGTCTTTCGTCCACAGAAGAGGTGAGTAGCAATTGAATGCACTGAACAGACATGTTAAAGAACAATATTCTTTGTAAAACATATGCTTTCAAGTCAGCTGGGCCCTTAAAGTAATTGTAGTTTTAAGATGAATCATTTCTGGCCTCTAATTGAACCAGGTCTAGAATAAAGTTTTCTTCTTGTATAATACCTGTGTCTTATCCTCACAAAGAGCATGAAACAGCCAAAGTTTCTGCAGATAATGAAACCAACACTGGTAAGCTGATGCAGAAAAAGAAGTTACTGAAACAATTCAAGAGTGTCTCAAAACATTTCAGAAAGCCTGGAGAATTAGCCTTGGAAATAGGAAATCGGGTGTGCATAGTACAGCCAGGCTCTTACCAGAGGCTCAGTCAGCAGAGAGTGTTGGCCCCAACATCATTAGCCCTGGACACTTGTCATCATCCATGAAGTCTCAATTCCATCCAGCCATCTCTGGCTTTCTTATCATTCCTGAAGATACAGAGACCCAGGAAAGAGTATCTGATTGACAGAGCTCCTCAGATGTCCTCACAAAAGATTCAGGGATCTGTAGGGGGATTATCTGTTCCTCTCCAGCTTCCAGAGCCAAAAAGTGAAGGCAGAAAGGTGTGAACCCTTCCTCACCCATCATTACTTAGTCAAAGTTTTGCATGACATGGGAGCCTTCAGAAATAAACACCCATGGCAAAAGGTCTGTTTTTGTGCCTAATTTTGATGAAGAATGGACCAGCCACATAAAAAAAATGTAATTAGATAAGAGAAAAGATCTACTAGGGTTTCACTGAAGAAAAACTAAGAGGGGCTGTATGTTTAGATTCTTCCTGGCCTTTCTTTGTAGCTTTCCTGCCTCCTAGGTATGAGGAAAGACTACTCTGAAATGAGAGTCTTCAAGGGAGAAAGGAGAGAGAAGACTTTCTGGATTTTATGGCTTGATTTTTTGGAAGAGAGTTCTAGTCTCTATGATATTTTTTAGAGAAGAAGAATCCTGTTTTCTATGACTTTGAGGGAGAGAGAGGGCTGGAGAAGGTCACCACTGAGGCCTTCCAATCTCCTTTAGTTCAAAGTACTCAGCATGCCAAATTGCTGTACTTTGAGGAACATTCTTCTGAGCTCCTACAGAAGAAAGATTCTGGATCGGTGAAAAACAATCTTGGATTTGCCAGAATAGAAAGGGTATTTGGATGCTGGACACACAAAAAGCAACAACAACAAATATTCACCTCACGGTTTTCTCACTTAGGATTACAAATTGCACACATCATGAAGGCATGTGTACAGGGTTTGATTATGCTATGAGCAACTTTAAATCTTATTAATTATTGCAGTATTACCTCATCTCTTCATTGATTTATATGAATCAGTAGTTGCCTCTGTTAATGAAAACATATTCATCAAAGTAGTGACTAATTTATTAGGCTGGCTTTTCATATTTGCATGGCACCTCTGCATGGCAAAAAATGAGTATCTAGAGTGAATAATGAATCACCAGAAGAAGAAAAAAAAAACAACACATCTTTGTTCTGAGTACAGGCTGTCACTGATTTTTAAAGTGAATATTATACCTGGTATTTAGTCCTGGTTCAAAGTTCTTCACAAAACTGATGTGATGTTTTCCCAAGATGTTCCATTGCAGTTTTATAGGTCAGAGAGGTGTGTCTGAGTTACCTGGAATTCTTCTTATAAAGAAAAGAGGTTCTGGTCTAAGGCTGAAGGG